GTATCATATCTCTGCATACTTGTGGTTTGTACATCAGTGTAGAGACAGGATAACGTAGACAAGCATGACATGTTGAGGCTCGATCATAGTAGTGGAGACTGCATATGAACAACAGTCTTGTGCGATAGACAGGAGACGGCATTTCACTCTTAAGTAGTGGTAGTGGAATGCGAGGCAGTATGGACATCTGCATATGAGAAAACTTAAGGTGTGTAGTGAAGGGGGGGGGGTCTGCGGCAGAACTGTTCCGCCACTCGGTAATATTGCCCACACAACACTACACACTCAACACTCAGCTTCTGTCTCCAACTGTCTCCTCCTCACACCAACATATATCACCACTACTGTGAATATATAAATGGATTAATTAGATATGAGTATACATAGTTTACATGGGCTGGAGAGATTATGTTACTTTACTGAATTTGACGTAGCAAGTAACAAAAGGTATTTGGGCATAAAATTACGTTAATTTAATGTAACTATGATAATTAAGGACGTGACAAAGCGTCAGTAATTACATTACAATGACCACTGATATGTTGGATACTAATAGAGTAAGGCTGGATTCTGAGAGCCCACCTTATGATCCTATCATTTTTACTCTTCATTGTGTTTATATAGGTGAGTGGATTGTGGTCTGGAAAAATGTTAATTTTAAATGGGGAAGTGCCCAAATACACGTCAAAATGTTCCAAGGACACCACAAGAGCTAGAGCCTCTTTCTCAACAGTGGCATAGTTTTTCTGGTGTCGTTTGAGCTTAGATGAATAGTAACATATAGGATGGAGAATGTCAGTGGATGTTGACTGTTGGAGCAGCACAGCACCCACTGCATAACCACTCGCATCTATATGTAAAAAGAAAGGAAGATTGAAATTAGGACTCCTCAATACAGGAGCAGAGGAGAGCAAACGCTTCAACCTTTTGAACAAGTCTGAACAATCTCTAGTCCAGATGAACTGAACTTTGCTACTAGTAAGCTCAGTGAGAGGAGCAGCAATCTGAGAAAAGTTTGGACAGAACCTGCAATAATATCCTGCCATGCCCAGGAATCTCTGTACAGTGGACCCCCGCATAACGATGGCATCACATAGCGATTTTTCCGCATACCGATTACTTTTATCGCAAAATTTTTGCCGCGCATACCGATTAAAAACCCGCTTACCGATTTTCGTCCGAGACGCGTCCAATGTGCCCTCACATGTGCCGGCCGTCCCATTGTTTACCAGCCAGCCTCCGCGGTAACATCCAAGCATACACTCGGAATATTTCGTATTATTACAGTGTTTTCGGTGCTGTTTCTGGAAAATAAGTGACCATGAGCCCCAAGAAAGCTTCTAGTGCCAACCCTGTGGTAAAAAGGGTGAGAATTAGATGGAAATTAAGAAAGATTTTGAAGGGTTTGGGGCTAACCCTGAGAAGCCTATGCCAGTTTGTGGAATCCATTGTGCCTACTTCAAAGATTAAGGAAATGTGTGCACAGTGGGTTGAACTGCAAACCTTTATAGATGAAAATCACCCTGACACAGCTGTTGCAAGCCGTGCTGGTGACTATTTCAATGACAATGTTATGGCCCATTTTAGGAAAGTCTGAAGGAACGGGAGGTACAGAGCTCTATGGACAGATTTGTTGTGCGACAGAGGTCCAGTGACTCTCAAGCTGGTCCTAGTGGCATTAAAAGAAGAAGGGAAATAACCCAGAAAAGGACTTGCTACCTCAAGTCCTAATGGAAGGGGATTCCCCTTCTAAACAGTAGAAGATAATGCTCTCCCCTCCTCCCATCCCATCAATCATCACCAGATCTTCAATAAAAGTAAGTGTCATGTAATTGTGCATGCCTTTTTCAGTTTGTGTGTATTAAAATTAACATTTCATGTGGTAAAAAAAAATTTTTTTCATACTTTTGGGCGTCTTGCACGGATTAATTTTATTTCCATTATTTCTTATGGGGAAAATTCATTCGCATAACGATTATTTCGCATAACGATGAGCCCTCTTGCACGGATTAAAATCGTTAACCGGGGGTCCACTGTATTTCCTTCCTATCTTGTGGCACTGGAAATGCAGAAATAGCACGAACCTTAGCCTCAATAGGAGCAACCTCACCTTGGCCGATACAAAAGCCTAGATAGGTAATCTTGGCTTGACCAAAACTACATTTAGCTAAGTTAACAGTGAAGCTGTAGTGCGCCAGTCTCTCAAACAATACTCTGATACGCGTCAAGTGTTGTTCCCACTCGTCACTGTACACCACTAAGTCGTCAAGGTAGGCTTCTACTCCGTCGAAGTTGTGGGTTAACTCATTCATTATACATTGGAATGAAGAAGCCGCGTTACATAAGCTGAAGGGGGTGACGAGGTAGTTAAACAATCCATCTTGAACAGTAAAAGCAGATATTTCTTGAGAACGTTTACTAAGAGGTGTAGGTGGAGGTGTGTGTGCTGGCTTGCCTGTCACTTGACACGTGTGGCAACGTCGCACATGAATAGCTTTTGCATTTTTTGCCAGTTTAACGAGTGTCTTCTTGACACCCATATGTCCTCCAATGGGACTATTGTGAGCAAAATCAATGGCTTGTTCACGAAATGTAACTGGTAACACTGTGAGATGCTTGACTGTGGTGGAAACACTATCAGCTGACAACTTAAATGTATTTTTCTCCATCAGTACACCATTACTATAATAGTAACAATTATCGAGATCCTTTGCTTAACTCTCAGTAACTGCTATATCTCTCAGTCTTTCCAGTGACTGATCAACAAACTGATCCTTCATTAAATCATCATGAGTTAGAAATTTAACGTCAGTTGTGTCCTGACTAGGTTGATGACATGGGGAAGTCAGTGTTAATGATCCTGGGTGCAGAGCATCACTGAACAACATATTCAAGCCCAAATCATTGTCATCCACTAACTCAACAGGAGACAAGGATGGTTGTTGTATCTTTGACATAGCTCTAGTAATTGCGCTGAGAGGAAATAAAATAGGCTTCTCTCTACAAGCTTCAATGGCCTAATTATCATCAGTGGTATTATCAATCACAAGTGGTTCCTTACATATACCAGCATGAAGGATATCATTCCCTATCAACAAGTCCACTGACCTGATGGGAAATACACCACTTGATATACCTACTGAAATATAACCAGTATAATAGCTTGTTTCAATGTAAACTTTGTGCAGAGGTGCTTTATAACAGCCCCACCATAGGCTTCTAACAATACAGTGGACCCCCGCATACCGATGGCATCACATAACGATTAATCCGCATACCGCTTGCTTTAATCGCAAAAATTTTGCCTCGCATACCGCTTAAAAACCCGCTCACCGATTTTCGTCCGAGATGCGTCGAATGTGCGGCCTGAGCCACGCTCACATGTTCCGCCGGTGGCATTGTTTACCAGCCAGCCTCCGCGGTAACATCCAAGCATACAATCGGAATATTTCGTATTATTACAGTGTTTTCGGTGCTCTTTCTGGAAAATAAGTGACCATGGGCCCCAAGAAAGCTTCTAGTGCCAACCCTACAGCAATAAGGGTGAGAATTACAATAGAGATGAAGAAAAAGATCATTGATAAGTATGAAAGTGGAGTGCGTGTCTCCGAGCTGGCCAGGTTGTATAATAAACCCCAATCAACCATCGCTACTATTGGTGGTACAGCTGCTGCTGCTGCTGCTGCTGTAGCATCGTCTGCTGCTGCTGTAACATTGTCTGTTGCTGCTGTAGCATCGTCTGTTGCTGCTGTACCACCGTCAGCTGCTGCTGCTGCTGTAGCATCGTCTGTTGCTGCTGTACCACCGTCAGCTGCTGCTGCTGCTGTAGCATCGTCTGCTGCTGCTGTAGCATCGTCTGCTGCTGCTGTAACATCGTCTGTTGCTGCTGTAGCATCATCTGCTGCTGCTGTAGCATCGTCTGTTGCTGCTGTACCACCGTCAGCTGCTGCTGCTGCTGTAGCATCGTCTGCTGCTGCTGTAGCATCGTCTGCTGCTGCTGTAGCATCGTCTGCTGCTGCTGTAGCATCGTCTGTTGCTGCTGTACCACCGTCAGCTGCTGCTGCTGCTGTACCACCGTTGTTGGTGTGGCTTATTGAGAATACCAAGAAACAATTAACCCCAGAGGATTTGCCACCCAGGATAACCCAAAAAAGTCAGTGTCATCGAAGACTGTCAATCTTATTTCCATTGGGGTCCTTAATCTTGTCTCCCAGGATGCAACCCACACAAGTCGACTAACACCCAGGTGAACAGGGAAAAATGCCTGGAACTAGTGCTCATATTGGTGAATTTAAAGCCAGCAAAGGTTGGTTTGAGAGATTTAAGAATCGTAGTGACATACACAGTGTGATAAGGCATGTTCTGGAAGAAAATGCCAAACAGGACCTACAGTACTCAGGAGGAAAAAGCACTCCCAGGACACAGTGTCTCATCAGTCATTGCTGCATCTTTAATAAAGGTAAGTGTCATTTATTCTTCATTTAGTAGACTAGTACATGCACAATATATATTGTGCATGTACTACTCTACTATTGTGCATGTATCCTTCTCTTTGTGTGTAGGAAAATGTATATTTCATGTGGTAAAATTTTTTTTTTCATACTTTTGGGTGTCTTGCACGGATTAATTTGATTTCCATTATTTCTTATGGGGAAAATTAATTCGCATACCGATTATTTCGCATAACAATGAGCCCTCTTGCACAGATTAATATCGTTATGCGGGGGTCCACTGTACATCTATCTTGGTATAGGTATCATCAGTTATGGTCAGTACATCTTTTCTTAATAAGGTGAGATAACTGCAAGTGTCTCTGAAAGTAATTATCTCAGTTAGATGTGTCTTAACTTTCATCTTGTCATTATTGTATACCTTATACCTTTCTTGCACAACATCTATACATTTGGTTGAAAACCAGTTGAGAACAAATTACATCTTTAATAAAATTATGAATATTACATTTACAATTGTTGATTAATGTGTATTCTTTCCTTTTGCAGTTAATCATCTCATCAAAAAAGAATTATACTTAATGTCGTCATCCAGTAATATGAAAGTGTTGTAAGTGGCAGATATACTGCAGAAACTGTGAACAATGGTCCAGACTTGAAGCTCACCTAATTATTCTGACAATCGCAACTACATCTTCAACAACCAGTGAACGTTAGCTCTCTTATTATAATAAAGTAGTTCTTCTTTCAACGAACTGGCCATATCCCACCAAGGCAGGTGGGCCCAAAAAGAAAAACAAAAGTTCCTCTTTTTAAATTTAGTTATGTATTCAGGAGAAGAGGTTGCTAGTCCATTGCTCCCGGCATTTTAGTCGCCTCTTATGGCACGCATGACTTACAGAGGAAGAATTCTATTCCACTTCCCCAGGGAGAAATATTGTACTTATGTTAATATAACACTGTACATGTATTATCAATATCTTTTGCTCTAAAACCAATTACATCTTGACAGCTTCCTTGCATATGTAAATATTTAGTATTGTTATTAAACGTAAGTGTAGAGTCTTAATAAACTGTGTAAATTTATTTTGTAATTTTTTTGTCTAAAAATATCAGTATTTTATTAACCATTTTGCAGAAGTAATAACGAAGGCAACTGAATGTTATATCATGTTAACAGTTTCCCAAAATTATTTTAATTAAAACACAGAGTTAAAGGTTAGCTGTTACCGTCCTGCCCTGTGTGGTAGAATTATTTTTATACTGTGCACTCACCACATGAACCCATTCTCATATGTCTAGACCAATATTTGCTGCTCAACAAATTTGTGGACTGTATGAATTAAACATTGTTGTGAACACTGCTGTGATGTATAATATGCAGAGTTTAAGAGAGTGTGTGCTGTTGTTATTGTATACACTCATGTTGATGCTCTGCACTGTTGTTATTATATACATTCACGTTGATGCAGTGTACTAATTTTAGTCATACAAACAATAGCAGATAACAAAATTACTTAAGAAAATGCTAATTACTTAATTGCAGTTCATATAAAGTTTATAAAATACTAATAATATATTCCATGAATTATTTAGAATTTTGCCATTGGATTGCTCATTATTCATTGTGCTTAGAATTTGTATTAAGTCTGAACATTAATTGCAAAAAAAAACTGTTTTTATTCTCTCATTTACAATATAAGTCAGTAAATAATGCTTAATTTAAAATTAAATTATATTCTCTAAAGTTTTTAATAATTTTTTTAAACATTAGGTAATTTTAACAATAAACAAGAGATAATAATGAGTTATATGAACACAATGTGTTTAAATTATCTTTTCCACAATATTCTTTTTTTAGAAATTTTGGATGATGTGCAAGAGTTTAATAAGCAAAAAAAGTAATATCAGTACTCATTATCTAAGTGACTTCTCAGTTAGGTAACATAATGCAGCCCATGAAAGTTCCTAATATAAACAACACACATGAGTGTTCAGTGTGTTTAAAAAACTTTGTTACAAAAAAATATCTTGTACAACATGTGAGACTTCATTTACAAGAAAAACCATATCAGTGTTCTGAGTGTCTAAAAGACTTTTCATGTAAATCAAGTCTTATACGGCACATGAGAGTTCATTCATCAGAAAATTTATACCAGTGTTCAGAATGTTTAAAAAACTTTACATGTAAATCAAGTCTAACATCACACATGATAGTTCATTCACAAGAAAAACCATATCAGTGTTCTGAGTGTTTAAAAAACTTTTCAAGAAAATCACATCTAATACAACACACAAAAATTCATTCACAAGAAAAACCATATCAGTGTTCCGAGTGTCTAAAAAACTTTTCAAGAAAATCATTTCTAATACGACACATGACAGTTCATTCTCAAGAAAAACCATACCAGTGTTCAGAGTGTATAAAAAGCTTTTCACAAAAATCAACTCTTATGCAACACATGACAATTCATTCACAAGAAAAACCATACCAGTGTTCCGAGTGTTTAAAAAACTTTGCTTTAAAAAAATATTTTATAAGCCATATGAGAGTTCATTCACTAGAAAAACCTTATCAGTGTTCAGTGTGTTTAAAAGACTTTTCATGTAAATCAAGTCTAATGAAACATATCAGAATTCATTCACAAGAAAAACCATATCAGTGTTCAGAGTGTTTAAAAGGCTTTTCACAAAAATCATATCTTTCACAACACATGAGAGTTCATTCACAAGAAAAACCATTTCAGTGTTCAGAGTGTTTGAAAGACTTTTCATGTAAATCACATCTAATACAACACATGACAGTTCATTCTCAAGAAAAACCATATCAGTGTTCAGAGTGTTTAAAAAACTTTTCACTGAAAGGAAATCTAATAAGACACTTGAGAATTCATTCACAAGAAAAACCATTTAAGTGTTCAGAGTGCTTAAAAGATTTTGCACAGAAATCACATTTAATACAACACATGAGTGTTCATTCAGTATAGAATCCCCTTGGCAATGCTTTTGCTTCACAGGCTGAGTGTCCGTGGTTCGATCCTTGGGAAGGGTAAAAACATTGGGCATGTTTCCTTACTCTTATTGTCCTGTTCACCTAGCAAGCAAGTAGGTACCTGGGTGTTAGTCAATTGGTGTGGGTCGTAGCCTAGGGGACAAGATTGAGGACCCCCACTGGAAATCAGACATATAGTCCCTCGATGATACACTCACTTCCTTGGATTGTCCTGGATGGCTAATCGGGTTTAAAGATCTGAATAAACTCTCTTCTTCGGTTTACCTCTGGCCAACAGTAGCAGCTTGGTAAATCAGGCCCTGGTTCACCACAAGACCTGGTCATACACTGGGCTGCATGGGCGTTGACCCCCAAAACCCTCTCTAGGTATATACAGTCTTGCAGATTCACTTTTATTCCTTAGCTTGGTAAAGGAGACGAGTGGAATTCAGAAGCAGGACTAATGCTGAGTTGTAAAATTTACCTTTTTATAGCTTGAGAATAAGGTCCTTGTTTACACATTGGCTGTGTTAGGTTTCACCACAACAATTTACAAAATGAGCACTCATACAATATTTACCAGTTAACATTCGCTAAGTGTGTAAAAAGTTGAGCACTCCATTATATTTGTGTAAATAATATAGGAGTACAATAGTTAATGCACATAGTGACCTCAGCACTGTAACTAACACCTATAGCACCTATTAACTGACATGTCCCAGTGTCATACATATAGTGTCCTCAGCACTGTATGGAAACATTGGGCATGTTTCCATACACCGGTTGTCAGTGTTCACCCATCAATAAAAATGAGTTCCTGGGTGTTAGTCAACTGGTGTAGGTCGCATCCTGGGACAAAATTGATGTAATTTGCCCAAAATGCTCTTCAAAACACACAGTTTTCTATAGTAGTATATCACATATCAGTTAGGCCTGTATATCTTGTACATGTACTTGAAATAAAATATTATATTATAATTATTATTATTATTAACCGTCATGTTTTCCCAGTGTCATACACATAATAGTGTCCTCAGCTCTGAGGAACTAACATCTGTGACACTCTTAACTGACATATTGGCCCACTCAAGAAAGAGGCACTCGACCATCTATGTGAACTAGAAAAATCTACTTTTACACCATAAGTAAAAGGACACAAGTGCAACTAATGTGACATTTTTATTATGACAACGTTTCGCTCTCCAGGAGCTTTGTCAAGCCGTTACAAGCAGTACATGGACACAGAGGGTTTATATAGGCTCAGAGTGAGGTGCAATACAAGTGGTAGTAGTAGTAGTAATACAATATGTTAGGACAATTAACTCGCACATGAGTAAAAGGATATAAAAGCTATTACTTGGGTAACATAAAAATAGGTTAGACAAATATGTTACCCAAGTACTGTAATACCTTTTATATTCTTTTACTCATGTGCGAGTTAATTGTTCTAACATATTGTATTACTACTACTACTACTACTACTACTACTGCTACAACTTATATCACTACTACTACTACTACCACTAGTATTGCACCTCACTCTGAGCCTATATGTACCCTCTGTGTCCATACACAAATAACCTGCACATAAAAGAGAGAAGCTTACGACGACGTTTCGGTCCGACTTGGACCATTGACAAAGTCAATGTACTGTTTGTAACAGCTTGACAAAGCTCCGGGAGAGCGAAACGTTGCCACAATAAAAATATCACATTAGTTGCACTTGTGTCCTTTTACTTTACATATTGTCGGTAATTCTACCAACTCTACACCGTAAGTTGATAAAGACGAATGAGTTTACAGGCAAGGAAGAGATGAGGCTGATGAATATAGAGGCTTGTGAAAGCCACTTCATGTGTAAAACATTTTCCATTGTTTAACTGGGTATATAAGTTTTTTGATGCTTTATCAGTCAGATGAAATGGGTAGGCATGCAACTTAGTCGTCTTCAAGGGGGGCTCCTTGGCGTGGTGAAGAAGCTCTTGGTCTGAGGAATTAGACCCTTTGGTCTACTTCTCCAGACCAAACCCAGTTACCCCCCAATCCTCTCTACCCTATCCCATCCTCCCTTTTTCCCTTTCCTCCTCCCTATTCCTTTCCTATTTTCAGCCTTTGAGATTCTTCCCACAGGCAATCTAGTTCCTAGGTAGGGGGAAGGGTACCATGATCCATCCCATTCCATTGAGGTTCTTGGCAGTGGTGTAGTTTGCCATGGAATTTGGATCACCTGGAGATGTCCCGATCCCTCTCCGGTCTCGCGGGGGGTAGTGGCTTTGGGTGTCTTTCAGGCGATGGAGTATATCTGGAGGCTGACTTTCGGATTCAGGGGATGGTGGCCAAAGGAGGTATGCTTTGTGGCAGGTATCCGGCCGCCCTCTCTTTTGTCCACCAAGGAGGCTCGGCGGATGTGAGGTTGCTATCCCAGATTGCTGGTTTACTGGCATGGGTAAACCATGCCAGCATGGGTTCCATGCTGCATCTGCACTACTTGTGGTGCTGCAGTCCTCTTGGGCACAGAGGAAGATTTTCGGCCCTTTCATTCCTCCTAGGAGCTATTCCTCACAGTTCCCCCCCCCCCTTTTTTTTTAAAAAAAAGGAAAAAAGAAAGAAGTAACCTAATTATGGCAGACCCACTCCATGAACCTGCTACCCCCGGGCCCTTTACTGATACCGCACCCTGTTCTGACCCTGCCTTGTTTTTTAACCACTCTTCAGACACTTCTAATGCCCCTGTACCTCTTGCTGGTGCTGTTTCATCACCCGCTTCAGGTACAGGGGTTTCGACTGACTCCTATGATATGTCTGACCTCCGCTCTCCTTTGACTATATGCTTCCGGCCTCTCCCTCTATGGTGCGGCAATTCTCGAACCGCCAGCTTGTCCCACATCGGATCAACCCTGGTCCCACTCCTAAACGCCCATGACAATTGCCTAATGATACTTCTTCGCCGCCTTGTCGTTCTACTCAGAAAAGACTGACACATCATGCACTCCCTTTCCACGCTCAGTTTCAGAATGCACAATGGACTAAATTCTTTACTTTATGACAGACTTCCTCTACTGCCTATCCGACCATAGTATTAGCAAGGCACTCCTACACCATGTTGTTAGAAACATATCCTTTCATGCTTTCAAGAGTGGTACATGCATCATCACTGTCCAGAATGCTACCCAAGTTCATGATCTTTCTCTTTCACATATCGATACTATTCCTGTCGCTATCAAAAACATCATTCCCTTAATTCTTGTAGTGGTAATGTCATTCTGCCCCATACCATTGTCCAACAGAATTTCCAGACATGTGGCAATGGCATTCTCGAACAAACTGGAACTCCAAGATCTCCCAATCCTCAAGGTAGACACTTATGTCCTTACTGCCCATGGGCGGAGACAATACCCTTGCAATGTAGCTCGATTAACTTTCGACAGCCGTGAACTCCCATACTTTGTTTATATAGCAGGACATCATTTACAAGTTCAAACGGTGATCCCTACACCGCAACAATGCAGAAATTGCTGGCGATTTGGTCACCCAGAGAAATATTGCAGGTCTATAGCCGAATGCCCAGTCTGTGGTGCCGATGACCATTCTGATACGTCTTATAGTTGACCTATTTCTTACCTTAATTGTCATGAGGCCCACCCTTACTCTCACCATTGCCAAGTCTACTTAAATGAACAAGAAATCCATTGCCTCAAAGAGGCAGAAGGTTTCCCTTTTGCTATGGCAGTTTCTCATCTATGCCTCCATGAGAGACTACCCCGTATTTCTTATTCTCTTGTTTCCAAATGTCTCCCCACCTCTGGGGTCCCATCTTCTGCAGCCTCCTCTGTGGTTACCCCTTCCATAGTCACTCCAGTCTTTAATTCTTTTGCTGTCCTGGACTCAGAAGTCCTTACCTCAGCAGTTTTAGTTAGTTTAATATGTTTATTATGCACCCCATACCCATCCTGTGGGCGGTAGTCAAAAGATTACAGAAGTACATAATTGGTCCAGGGACTGGACTCCAAAGTTTTGATAGATGAGCAAGTTACAGAGGTAATGAACTCACAATTTACAAAGGTAATGAACTCACAGTTTACAAAGGTAATGAATTCCAGGTAGGTTTGGTCACAATCATGACAAGTTACAAAGGTATTTACAGATTACAGAGGTACATAATGGGTCCAGGGACTGGGCCCCCAAAGTTTTGATAGCTGAACTAGGTACAAAGGTAATGAGCTCACAAGTTACAAAGGTAATGAATTCTGTAAGAATGGTTGCTTACGTTTATACATGGCTACAATCATGAACAAATTATAGTGTAGTGAGCAATACACCTCAGTCTGTTCTCACTTCTTCGTGTACCCCTTCACAAACCCCGGTATCGAAAAGACCTCGTGGAACACTTACTCCCAATCACCCCTCTACTTCTCAGAAGTCCAAAAATTCCCCATTGCTTAACTCTCCTTTAACCCCTCCTTCCCTTCTTCCACCTCCACATTTTACTTTCCCGGGTTCTGTACCTAGTTCTTCCTTTCTCACTGGCTCTGTTACAAGTGTGGAGGTTCACCCTCCTCCTCGTGCTGTGCCTTCCTCCCCTGTCCCCTACCAAGTTTCTTCCTTTTCTGCCCCCTCCCAGGTTTCTGCCTGTTCTGTCCCCTCCCACACTACTACAGTTCCCTCCACCCATTCGTGCCCCCCTACCTTGGTAGAGTCCATTACTGTCCCAATCTTTACTCGCCCTCCTCCTCCCATCTTCAATATTGTCTCCCATACATTGTCTTTGAATTCCGAAACACTTGAAGCTATCTCAGAATATATTGCAGAGACTAAACCATCAATAGACACTGATCCTCCTCCTGTTCCTTCTCTTTCCTCTCCTCCATCTGCGCAACTCCCTTCTTCGAAGTGCTCCGTTCCTTCGCTACTTGAACGTTTTTAACTGCCGCCAGATGTGGACTTTTCTAACCTTTCTACACAAATAACCCACACATAGAAGAGAGGAGCTTACGACAACGTTTCGGTCCGACTTGGACCATTTACAAAGTCAGGATGGGTATATATAGGCAGGTGGTGGTACTATTAGTAGTGGAGGGAAGGAAGTAGTAGTGGGGAGGTAGTAAGAGTAGGATGGACCAGTCAAATACTAAGAAAGAGGAGCACTGCAAGGAAGCTAGGTGCCCAGAGAGGGTAAGAGCAAGAACACCGAGGGAAAGAAAACAAATAAATAAATAAAGAAGGAACAAATACACTGGGCAGAAGAAAGACAACCCAAAGGGGAAAGAGGAAAGGGGAAGAGGGAGAAGAAAAAAGGAGGAATCGGTTTAGGTCATGAGTGTTCTGAAGTTTGGAGCATTTTACAATGTAGTAGGAGAAGAAGGCATCTACAGAGATGAAGCCAGGACTAAGATTCATACAAGGAAAGTTGTGTATTAGGGAGGATTCAACCAGATGGCAACTTAAAGGTGGAAGTAGGGAAGACAGTTTTAGCAGAAGACCAGTCAATAGGATGGCTGTGATCTCTGACGTGACAGAAAAGAGCATTATTAGTGTCGGCAAGCCTAACCTCTAGTCCGTAGGTACCCTTACCTGCGGACTTCTGGTATCTTTCTCATTGCCAATCATGACCTATTTACAGTGGAATATCTGCGGCCTGAGGGGTAATCAGGATGAGCTTCAGATGTTGCTCTCCCAGTTTTCCCCTGTTGGTGTTTGTGGAGAAATTTTCTCCAGGAGGGGGGTATCAGCCCCCTTCAGCCCCTTTCAGCCCTGAGGGGCCCAGCCCTCTCAGAAGGGGCAAGCGTCTTGTTTACTGCTACAGTGAGTAATTGATCGCAGATGCCATATGAGTATGCGACGTGGTCAAGTGACCATTGCTCCTTGCAGTCCAGTGTTGCAGAGTGTATTTTAATAAGAGACAGTACATCTCTTACTTTAGCAGGACAATTAAGGAAAATCCTGCTCCCACTTTATTACC